TTATTCTCTCCCAAAGTGGAAATACACAATGATAAAGGTTTTATTGCAACCTTAATTCTGATGACTCTGCTTTTATTGTATTTTTCAATCATTAATAAAAATAAATGTATTATTGTAATTTTACTTTGTATTTTTCTCAATCAAACAATAATTTTACATTTTTGAGAGCGCCACGAACTCAAATGGTAATTTTTCGTCAATGAAATTGTCGCTTACATGTTAGAAAACGAAAAATAAAAAAGCCAGATAATATAAATAAATGTATTATTGTAATCCATTATTAAAATTTCTTTTGATTCCATTTTTGTACGTTTTGAATCAAACAATAATTTTAGATTTTTGAGAACGGCACGAGCTCAAATGGTAGTTTTTTCGCCAAACAATTACATCAAAGAAAAAAACTTCGAATTAATTGAATAAATTGATTTAAACAAAACATCATGCAAATCCTCATACTTAATATATAACTTACTATATTTCAGATAGTAATTTCATGTTCCTATAATGGAACAATATTATTTTTGATTGGGAAATAGAACACAGAAGCGGGATTATCAAAAGTAACATTTTATGTAAGCGAGCAACTTTAATTTGCGATGAGTGTTGTATAAGCTCAATTATGTAAAAACCAAGACACCAAACAAATTCAAATCATGTCACGTAATTTTGTGATTTTTTATTTATATATAAAAGCCACACCCATTTATCTTCATGTCACAATCTTAAACCATTACAACTTCAAAGATATAATCACTAATTAACCATAATGTCTAATTGGGATACCGTTTCTATTGTCAGTATAGCTTTAGTCAACAAAGCACTCGGAGACAATGCTCAACAATTGATATCAGATTTTGAATTTGAAGGAGCAGATGATCAATTTTCCGCAAAATTCCAGTGCATTGGCACGTTCGGTGCGTGGAGCCTCGATGAAGGCTCGGCTGGAGATTTATTAAGATTAAAATTACCGATTACTCAAGGAACCATATCTGCAAGCAATGATACAATCGACCTGAGTGGAACAACAGCCATAATGGAAGTGTCATTCGATTTTTTGCCGGGCTCCCCTACCACATCCAATTTTGTCTTTTCTCTTAAGAATAATTCGAAGCTTGGAGATCCTCCACAACCAGGTTATGTTACACCCATTGATTTGGTTGGACCTATACCTATTCTTGAAAAGCTTGGTATTGTCGGAAAAGCTGCTGTGTTGAATGGAATAGCGGCCATGATCTGCTCAAAAGCATCAGAAATCAGTTACATCTTTGCCCGGTTAAACGTAGTTTCTCCCGATGCGCAATTTTGGTTAGCACCGATACGCTCTACATATACCTACTATTCTGTCGATGGTACTCGCGGATTTCTAGCAATTGTTAGCGTGATCACAGATCGTCCAGTAGCAGCGAATATAGATGCTAAAATTTTCCCGGACCCCGGATCAGATATGAGTTTTGCCATCACGAATGATTTGTTTCTTCAACATTTAATCATACCCGTTTTGCCACTTGCATATGGTGGTAACTCATCAATCAACAATTTCGGTTTCGATTCGGGCAATCATAAGGTTTTTTGTTCTTCCGCATTTAATATCAATTCGGTAACTTCTGGTGCAATTACTTACGACCCTATTGTAACTGGAGCAAATGTGAAATGCATGCCTGAAGGTATCTCAATTTCAACCAACGGATATTGCGATTTAAAAGCGGGCATCAGCATGACTTATTCAGCGAGCTGTAATCCTACGCTAAATTTTGATCCAGTAAGTCAAAGTATTTCATTCAATCGTGATCCGAATCCAGTTGTGGGACATGATGTTGATATTCCATGGTACTGGTGGCTTGGTGGATTAATCGTAGAGGCAGTCGTTAACATAGTTTGCAAAGTTATATCAGATGACCTTATTGATTCTCTCTCTGGCTATCTTACTGGGCATATTGCAGCAAAAATTCAACCTTGTATTATTTGGAATGGTGTGAATTCGAAACAAGTCAACAATGTTTCGCTTGACGAAAGTTTTGTGATACGTGGTATAGGAAATCAATAATATTTTTCTTTGAAATTTTTCTCATCCTGATTCTTTCTTGGCGGGGATTTCTTTTCAAAATGCTTTAAAGAGTTTTAGTTAGTTATTCCTTCGATTAATGTGTATTTTTCAAAAAGCGGAAAAAAATAATTTTTATATATATATAATAAAAAAATAATTTATACCAATATTTTTGGTCAATGTTGTGCAATTGGAACATTATAATGCTCCAATATGGTTTCAATGTAGATCTTCAATTGATATTGACCAATAAAATTTGTGTGTGAGACACTCTAATTGAATTTCATTGGTTAACCACATTTGGAACGTTCCAATTCCAATTAGAATTTGTTGGAATGTTCCAATGAAATTTTATTGGAACCATAAATGGCACAACACTGAATTAGGTCAAAATTCATGTAAAAACATCAAGTAAAAGTATGTATTTTTTTCATGCCGTTCTGTCACAAAGAACTCAAACCTTCTACACTCAGCCACGACATCCCTGTTCACCCTCAAGCAATCAAGAACAAGATTCAACGAAGAAGCTCTGCTCATTGTTGCTGGTGTTGGCATGTTTTCATCGTGGCAATGTCGGACATGTACGTCAATAATTCAAATTTTACCCAATCTTTTGTCATATTATCTTTTAAATTTTACTTTTTTACTAATTACACGCTTCTTTTTTTTTTTTTTTTTTCAGATGAATGTAAATGTTTTTGGAATTGAGAACCATCAAGTATAGTTGCTTTCCAAGCTTTGTAAATTTTATCTAGTGTTGGTTAATTGGTTTTAGAGAGATTCACAAAAAAACAGTTTTATAAACCCAAGTATATTGTATTTATTTTTTTTATTTTTTTTATCAAAAAGTAACGCGCACATGATTTTTTGATTTTTATGACGTGCCATAATGGACAAAAGCCCAATTATTAATTAGGTCTCTTAACCAAGAATTAATTGGATTTTAACCAAGCATTAATTAGATCTTAATTAATTATTGATTGATTTTAACCAAGTATTAACTGGATTTTAACCAATTATTAAATACACTTTTGTCCTTTGGAAAAAGAAAAAAAAATATTTAATATAATTATACATACTTTTTAATGGTATGTAGTAGTACCATCAGTGCTTGCAATCTTGAGATAATTTTAATATTCTGGTCAATTGATATGATTTTAACTCAAAATTTACACATTGGTCATTATTATGAATTGAGGTAAATAATCTCTTTTAATAATTATATCCTCTCCTAGATGAATTGAAACAAATAATATCTTTTATGATATAGCTATACATTTTTTTTCCTATAATATCTATTACTTACATTCATAAATAATAGGTTGTAAACTTGGTTCTTCTAATTTCTTTTTTTTTTGCTGAATTCAATCCACATAAAATTCTTGACATGAATATTAAATTCTATAAAATCATTTTTTGTGAATCTCACTAAAACTTATTAACCAAAAACATTTAAAGCAACATTGAAAAATAATCTTAGCTTTGAAGCAAAAAAATATGCCATTTTTGAATAACCATGGATTTATATAGAGAGGGCCTTTCAATATGAAAGGTATTCTTTAATGGAACAATTTTGTTTTTATTATAAAAAAAACTTTCTGTGACATATGTTAAATTAAAATAGCAAGGTGACATTTTCTTTTTTTATACAAAAGAAATGAGATAATGTGTTGTTAAGATCCAATTAATAATTAGCACAGGTAAAAAAACGAAAAATCAGTAATACTCCCGATTTTTCTCAAATTGATCAAACGTAACCAATAAATCATAGATTCTTACCATTTTTAGCATTGATAAAAATCGGGTTTTCTGAATTGCTACTATTTTTGAATAAGCCAATTAGTTAAAATTCGGGATTACCGATTA